CATGGGATTTGGGGGACCCGGGAAGGTCTGAGCCGGGTGGTTTGGGGTTGATTTCTTCGGGTGAAAGTGGGGAAAAATTGAATTTTTATTTTTGTTTCTTAAGGTGAAAGAATGAAAATCGAATTTTGGATTTTATCCTTTAGGGTAAAACTGAAAATTGAATTTTATTTCTGAGGGCAAGAGTGTGAAAATTGAATTTTGAGTTTGGTTTCTTTGGGTGAAAGTGTGAAAATTGAGTTTTATTTCTTAAGGTAAAAGGGTAAAAAATGGAATTTTTAGTTTTATGTTTTAGGGTGAAACTGAAAATTGAACTTTGAGTTTTGTTTCTAAGGGCAAGAGTGTGAAAATTGAATTTTGAGACTTTTATTTCCTTGTCTAAAACTGGAAATTGAATTGTAGTTTTATTTCTTTGGGTAAAAGTGTGACAATTTAATTTTTAGTGTTATTTTTTAGGGTAAAACTGAAAATGGAGTTTTATTTCTTAAGGCAAAATTGTGAAAATTGAATTTTGAGTTTGATTTCTTTGGTTGAAAGTGTGAAAATTCAATTTTAGTAGAATTTTAGTACATTTCCCATCCAAAATTCCTGTAGCCTGTTGATTTTTTTCCCTAGTATTTTTATATTCCCTGTGTTTCTCTGGGAAAATGCACCTTTGCTAAAATGGAATTATTCCTCCACTTTTCCCATCCAAAATTCCTGTTGCTTGTTGATTTGTTCTCCTTAGTATTTTTATTTTCCCTGTATTTTTGTGCAAAAATCCACCTTTTACCACACTGGATTTATCCCTCCACATTTCCCATCCGAAATTCCTGTAGCTTCTTGATTTTTCCTCAATATTTTTATTTTCCCCTGTGTTTTTTCTGGCAAAATCCACCTTTCCCTCCAACCCTCTTTTTTTATCCCTGACCTGTTTTTTTCACCCCTTTTCTTTTTTTTTTTTGATTTTTTTTTTCCCCCAGGTTGTTTTGACACCTTTTTTTTTTTTTTAATATTAACTTTGAAGTGTGATTGATTAATCAATTAATTAATTGTTTTGGAATCTTGGAATCTTGCAGATCCCGTTTGCTCCGGCCGAGGGTTGGGGGGGAGATGATTTAAAATCTTATTTGCATTAAAATCCAAAGTTCTGAATGATCCTGAGGAACAGGCCCAGCTTTTCCCTGAGGAATGGAATTCCCACCCCTGGAATTGTTCAGGGTGGATTGGACGGGGCTTGGAGCGAGCTGAGATAGTGGGAAGTGTCTCTTCCCATGGAATGAGATGATCATTGAGGTCCCTTCGCTCTCCTGAATCCCTCCATGCCACCATCCCCTTATTCCAAACGCTTTTCCTGGATTCCCATCACCATCCCCTTCCTCCAAACCCCTTTCCCTGGATTCCCATCACCATCCCCTTCCTCCAAATGCCTTTCCCTGGATTCCCATCACCAACCCCTTCCTCCAAACCCCTTTCCCTGGATTCCCATCACCAACCCCTTCCTCCAAATCCCTTTCCCTGGATTCCTGTCACCATCCCCTTGCTCCAAATGCCTTTCCCTGGATTCCCATCACCATCCCCTTGCTCCAAACGCCTTTCCCTGGATTCCCCATCACCAGCCCCTTCCTCCAAACCCCTTTCCCTGGATTCCCATCACCAGCCCCTTACTCCAGACGCCTTTCCCTGGATTCCCATCACCACCTTTCCCTGGATTCCCCATCACCACTCGATCCCCATCACCACCTTCCTGGATTCCCCATCACCACCTTCCCTGGATTCCCATCACCACCTTCCTGATTCCCCATCACCACCTTCCCTGACTCCCATCACCACCTTTCCCTGGATTCCCCATCACCCCCTTTCCCTGGATTCCCCATCACCACCTTTCCCTGGATTCCCCATCACCACCTTTCCCTGGATTCCCCATCACCACCTTTCCCTGGATTCCCCATCACCACCTTTCCTGGATTCCCATCACCACCTTTCCCTGGATTCCCATCACCACCTTTCCTGATTCCCCATCACCACCTTCCCTGATTCCCATCACCACCTTCCCTGGATTCCCCATCACCACCTTTCCTGGATTCCCCATCACCACCTTTCCCTGACTCCCATCACCACCTTTCCTGGATTCCCCATCACCACCTTCCTGGATTCCCATCACCACCTTTCCTGGATTCCCCATCACCACCTTCCCTGGATTCCCCATCACCACCTTCCCTGATTCCCATCACCACCTTTCCCTGGATTCCCCATCACCACCTTTCCCTGGATTCCCCATCACCACCTTTCCCTGGATTCCCCATCACCACCTTTCCCGGATTCCCATCACCACCTTTCCCTGGATTCCCATCACCACCTTTCCCTGGATTCCCCATCACCACCTTTCCCTGGATTCCCCATCACCACCTTTCCCTGGATTCCCCATCACCACCTTTCCCTGGATTCCCCATCACCACCTTTCCCTGGATTCCCCATCACCACCTTTCCCTGGATTCCCCATCACCACCTTTCCCTGGATTCCCATCACCACCTTTCCTGGATTCCCCATCACCACCTTTCCTGGATTCCCCATCACCACCTTTCCTGGATCTCCCATCACCACCTTTCCCTGGATTCCCATCACCACCTTTCCCTGGATTCCCCATCACCACCTTCCTGGATTCCCATCACCACCTTTCCTGATTCCCCATCACCACCTTCCCTGGATTCCCCATCACCACCTTTCCTGGATTCCCCATCACCACCTTCCCTGGATTCCCATCACCACCTTTCCCTGGATTCCCCATCACCACCTTTCCCTGGATTCCCCATCACCACCTTTCCCTGGATTCCCCATCACCATCCCCTTCGTCCAAACCCCTTTCCCTGGCTTTCCCATCACCAAACCCTTCCTCCAGACCCCTTTCCCAGGATTCCCATCACCCTCCCCTTCCTCCAGACGCCTTTCCCTGGATTCCCATCTCCAGCGCCTTCCTCCAAACCCCTTTCCCTGGATTCCCATCACCACCCCTTGCTCCAAACCCCTTTCCCAGGATTCCATTGCAGTTTCCCTCGTCTCAAACAACAAGGAAAACCGAGGCAGGGGCAGAGAAAACAGGATTTCACCTGCGATTTGTGCCCACTTGGAGCATCTTCTGGGCTCTGCCACTTCCCCCCGAGGTCCCCGTGGGGTGTGGGATGTTCTCACGGGTCCCCTGTGGTGTCTCCCGCAGGTGGGAAGAGGAGAAGAAGGACGATGGGGTCAAGTGGATGCAGCTGGAGCACAAGGGGCCCTACTTTGCCCCCCTTTACGAGCCCCTTCCCGAGGACGTGCGGTTTTATTACGACGGTAAGGAACGGGAGAGGAATATCCCGTGGGATAAAGCCTCCAGCCACTGGCTGAAGCTGGAGGTGGAAGGAGTTATGGGGTTCTTGAGGAGTTGACCCCGAGGGTCTTTTTGGGTTTTTTTCCCACCCCTGAGGGTCGTTTTTCCCCGTGAAGGTCCATTTTGGGGTTGAGTTTTCAGGAGGAGTTGAAGCTCATCCGGGTTTTCCCCACAAGCTGGAAAACCAGGAGTTTACACATCACTTGCCCCACCCCACCCCAACAAGATGTTGAAGGATTTAGTTGAGCTGCTTGTGGCTCCTGATATCACCAAGGATCACTTGCAGCAACTCAGGGTCACTGAGGGGCTCATCCAGGACAGATCCAGAGCTCTGCTATCCTTGTTTTCCTCCCATTCCCGCTGGATTGTCTTCTCCCTGCTCTCAGCTTCATCCCTGAACTCGTTTTTGATGGATCCAGGCAAGGGGGCAACAAGGACCTTGGGGCTTGGCCGAGATGGGAGGGGACCACATTCCCTGGGGGTCTTGGTGCTCCTCAGCTCCATCCCTGGGGCTTCCCATGCCTTTTTTTATAGTAGGAAAAAGGCCAATTTTGGGAGAGGAGGTGTCTGGAGACACCAGAGGGCACTGCTGGGACATCCATGGGGCTGTCAGAGACTTTTTTTTGGATGTGCGAGGAGGATCCCTAGCGGGGTTTGAACCTTCTCGGTGACCTCTGAGGTTGTAGGAGATCCACCCGTGTGCTGGGTGGGTGGAGGCTGGTGGCTTTGGCCTGGGATCCTTGGATCTTGGCTCCTTTCCTTAAAAATCATCACCATTCCTGGATGGAAAAGTGTCTGGGGACAGGCAATGAACCCAAGTAGGAGGAGACCATGGGGTACACGTGGTCTGTCACAGGGGTGCTCTAAGGTGACCCACCATGGCCTGCAGTCCAGGAACCCCAAAACCCAGGGGGGGCAGGTAGGATTCCACCATCCCCTGGAGCTCTGCAGGTTGTTCTGCCTCTAGCTTACCTAGGAAAGCTGTTTCCAAGTAATTCTTAGGATAAGCCAAGGTGTTCCTTGGTTTCCCTGTGGTTCTCTGGCCAAAGAGCTCAGGAGAGGGTGGTGATGGCTTTGGCACCTCCAGGAAGCAATCCCAGACCTGAAGAACCCCTGAAAAATGATCCCAAATTCTGCCCAGAGAAGCCGTGGCTGCCCCTGGATCCCTGGAAGTGTCCAAGGCCGGGTTGGACAGGGTTTGGAGCAGCCTGGGATAGTGAAAGGTGTCCCTGCCCATGGCAGGGCTTTTGGAACTGAAAATCCATTTCAACCCAAAGCATTCCATGATTCTTGGATCTGTTGGACAACCAGGAGAGGCTCTTGCCTCTGTCTTGCACAGCTTGGAGCGTCCCATGGTTGCTCCATCTTCATGGATGAGGTGAAACCTCTCCAAGCAAGGTCCTGGCTCCTGGAATGGATGGGATTCAAGAACATCCCACTATGCCAAGAGCTCTGGATGTTGATCCTGGCGTGGGACGTGCCAAGGTGCTGCCAGTGACTCTTTTCCCCCCTTGTCCCTGTTTTTTGGTGGAGTGTGGAATGTGAGGAGCCTCCAGAGGACTGTGGGGTTGGGCTGTTCCCTTAACCTGATGCCAAAGGCCCTCTCTTTTCCCAGGAAAACCCCTGAAGCTGAGCTTGGCCACGGAAGAAATCGCCACGTTTTACGCCAAAATGCTCGACCACGAATACACGAGCAAGGAGATCTTCCAGAACAACTTCTTCCACGACTGGAGGAAGGTAAATCCCTGGCAGGGCTTCCTTGATATCCATCATCAGGCCGTGGTGTGGGATGGGAGGGAATGAGGGACTTTCATGGCTTATTTATAACTACGAGATCCTGAATTCTGATTCATTTCCTTGGGGTTTTTTGGGGGATTTGGGGGCTTCACTTGTGCTCCCCCTGAGTTTTGGTGGTGGAAGGAGGTGCTGGATCTTCCAAACAGCTTCCCAAATGGTTTTTGGGCTTGAAGGAATAACCTCATGGTCCTAAATAAAACCAAAACCCCTCCTAGGGGGTGTGTTTACACCCCCCTACACACCCCAAATACCTTTGGTGCATCTTCTGCAGTCCCTGAAGTGGTTTTGGGGAATTTTTTTTCCATGTCAGCGGTTTTTCCATCCCAGAGTTGGCTGCATTTTGGTTCTCTGGGTGTTGGTTGAATCCAGAGGTCATCCAGATCTCCTGCCATGGAAGCTTTGCTTGGCTGGCTGTGGCTGCTGCTTCCTGTTTTTCCCAAAAAGCTGGAATCTGGGGCTCTATTCCCTTTTTCTGGGAAGGAGAGGCACAAACAGCAGTTCTACTTGGGGTTAGTTTGGCCTCCTGGCTTCATCCAGGCCATCCCACCTTTCTCCCAGGAGATGACCTCGGAGGAGCAGGAGATAATCCAGGACCTGGCCAAGTGTGACTTCAGTGAGATCCACAAGTACTTCGTGGACAAAAGCGAGGCCCGGAAGGCGCTCCCCAAGGAGGAGAAGCAGGTCAGGACTCGTTCCTGTGACATCTGGGACTGGATAACGTGGCTTTGGGGTCCAGCTTTTTGGGGTCTTTGGGCTCCTGCTTGTCATCTCTCGTGGTTTTACGCCCTGGGACCTCTTTGGACCATCAACCTCCTCTCCATGGATACCAACCATCCTTGGAGCGTGGTTTTGGATCCTGCTCTATCCAGAGGGACTGGTGACCCTCAGGGCTGTCCCATCAGCATCACTGGGAGGGTTGGCAAAGTGGGTGGAGATGAGCCACGTTTTGGGAGTGGAACTTGCCTCCTCCTCCTCTTCCCACCCTTTGAGCTCTGCCTTTCCAGCCTTCCTTATCTCCAGGGAAAAGAGGGTGGGGATGGGTAAACACCAACCATGGGGGTTAAGTCTGATCCTGTGGGATGAGAGTGGGTTTGGATTAGATGTTGGGAAGAAATTCCTTCCTGGGGGGTGGGTGGTGGAACACTGGCACAGGTTGCCCAGAGAAGCTTTGGCTGCCCCATCCCTGCAAGTATTCCAGGACAGAGTTGGACAGGGCTTGGAGCAACCTGGGATAGTGAAAGATATCCACCCCCTGCCCAGGGCTTGGGGGTGGAATAAGAATGAGATAACCTTGGAGGTCCCTTCCAACTCAAACCATTCCATGATTATTTGGGTTTTTTTGGTGTCCTGGTGCTCCTGGCAGAAGCTGAAGGAGGAGGCAGACAAGATCCAGGAGGAATACGGGTACTGCATCCTGGACGGGCACCGCGAGAAGATCGGCAACTTCAAAACGGAGCCGCCGGGGCTGTTCCGGGGCCGTGGCGACCACCCCAAGATGGGGATGCTGAAGAAGAGGATCATGCCAGAAGATGTTGTCATCAACTGCAGCAAGTGAGTTGTCAGGAGCTCCTGGGGGGTTGGTTTTGGGACTGGGTGATGGGGGGGAGTAGGACATCTCTGCCCGGAGCTGGGGTTGTGCCATCTCCTACAATCGCTGCTTTCTGGACCCTGAGCGCTCCCTGGAGCTCTTTGGTCACCTCCAGAGGTCTGACTTTGTATTCCTCTGTGGATCTCCAGTGGCCAGGAAGCTGCTCAAGCAGCTCCATCTCCCACTGGTTCATCCAAAATCGACCATGGACACTGTGGTTCTCCTGCTGCCTCTTTGAAGAAGGGATGACTCTGTGCTCCTCCTGATTTCCATCTCTCCCAGTTTTTTTGGTCCCTCCCACTGCCTGGAAGCACCAGGATCCTTCCCTGGAGGAGGTTGGGAAGGCAGTGATTGGGTTAAGATGAGTTGGGTTGGTCTTAAACCACCCATTTGAAGATTTTTTGGTTCGAAACATTCCCCTCCAGAAAGTTCTCCTTTGTCTTCGGCATCCAAATGATAAAGACCTGATGGTGGGAAGGGTCTGGAGAACCAGGAGAGGCTGAGGGAGCTTGGGGGGGCTCAGCCTGGAGAAAAGGAGGCTCAGGAGAGACTTTATTTCTCTTTGCAACTCCCTGAAAGAAAGGTGTGGACAGGACAGGTGGGGATTGGTCTCTTCTCCCTGACGAGGCTGCTTCCTCTTGTCCTGTCACTTGTGTTGTTCCAGGGCAGGTTTAGGTTGGATATCAGGGAAAACCTCTCCTCACAAAGGGTTATCAAGCACTAGAAAAGGCTGCTCAGGGTGGAGTCACCAGCCCTGGGAGGGATTTGAAAGGTGTGGGGACGTGGTTTCGTGGTGGGCCTGGAAGTGCTGGTTTGATGGTTGAACTTCCTGATCTCAGAGGGCTTTTCCAACCTTAACAATTCCGTGTTGTGGAGCCATTTTGGGTGGGCTGTGTTTCCTCAAAGTAACGCTGTGATGTGGTGACCATCCTTGTCCCACTGAAGACCTGTCTCTCCGTGGTCTCAGGCCTTTAATTCCCCCTCTTCCCACAGGGATTCCAAGATTCCCGAGCCCCCCGAAGGTCACAAGTGGAAGGAGGTTCGCTTTGACAACACGGTCACCTGGTTGGCCTCGTGGACCGAGAACATCCAGAACACCCTCAAGTACATCATGCTGAACCCCAGCTCCAAGCTGAAGGTTGGGATGATGGTGGAAAGGTCAGGGAAAGCAGAGATGTGCCACATCACCAAAAATCTGGGTGGTTTGGTGGGTTTTTTTTCCACCTCTCCCAAAAAAAAGGGGTGAAATGAAGGGATTTGTGTGTTGTTAGGTGGTGAAGGGAAAAGGACAGATGGTTGTGGAGCATTAATCCAACATTCCCTGGGCCACATTCCTCATGGGTGTCCAGGGAAGGCTGTTGGAGGCCTGGCAGGAGCTGGGAAGGTCCACAGGGACCAGAGTCCAGGAGGTTGAGTTCAGTTGTAAGTGGAAGATGGGGAAAGGTGGGATCATGGTCTGCAGTGCCCTGGGAAGAAAGGAAAGGGGATTTCAGGCTTTTTCCAGCATTCCAAGCAAATGAGGGCACTGAATCCCAGCTGGGCACAGCCCTGGGGGTGTCCAGGCAGTGGTGGCTGTGACCACACAATGTCTGACCACTCAGACTCCTCACTGTGCCCTCCTGGTGGAGAACACCTCGACTTGGCCACGATCCCAGATCCAGCTCAGCCAGCAGAGGGCACAGAAACCTTGGATGATCTGCTCCTGCTCCGGTTCTCCCACTTTTGTGGATTTTTCCTCCTGAAAACAAGGGGGGTTGGAGCAGGATTTAGATGCTGGAGGTGTTCCCAGAGCAGGGTTTGACTGGGAGGGGTGAAATAAAGAATGAAGAATGTCTTGGCCTCCTTTTCCAGGGGGAGAAGGACTGGCAGAAGTACGAGGTCGCTCGGCGCTTGAAGGACGTGGTCCATGAAATCCGGGCCCGGTACCGAGCGGATTGGAAATCCAAGGAGATGAGGAACAGGCAAAGAGCAGTGGCCCTCTACTTCATTGATAAGGTACCCACAGCCCCACCCCCAGGTCCCCCAGCCATGTGGAGGTTGGGAATTGCCTGATCTCCACCCCACCCCACCCCCTGGAGTTGGTTTTGGTGATTCCTCGTGTGCCGCGTGAGGAATCTCGGCAGCGAATATGGAATCCTGGAATGGTTTGGGTTGGAAGGGACCTTTGAGATCGTCCAGTTCCAACCCCCTGCCGTGGGCAGGGACACCTCCCACTAGACCAGGTTGCTCCAAGCCGTGTCCAACATCCATGTGATGGCAAAATGCCCGCTGGGAAGATGGAGAACCTTTGTCTGGGGGGGAATATTTTAGGGTTTCTTAGAGCAGTGAAAGTATCTCCTGCTGGAGGCAGCTGCTGTTTGGTTTCCACCGGGGTTCTAGCAAGACACCATTCCCGAGAAAGCCTGTCCTTGAGGCTCTGGAACAGGGAAACTGTGGATTCCTCATCCCTGGAAGTGTTCAAGACCAGGTTTGGATGAGGCTGGTCTAGTGGAAGGTGTCCCTGCCCACGGCAGTGCATTTAGAACAAGATCATCCTCAAGCTTCCCTTCCAACCCAAACCATTCCACAGAGGCGTCCACAGGCCTCAGGAGGTTGGAACTGAGGTGGGATGGGATGGGATGGGGGTGGATGACTCCTCCCTGCCTCCTTCCCAGCTGGCCCTGCGAGCCGGGAACGAGAAGGAGGAAGGGGAGACGGCGGACACGGTCGGCTGCTGCTCCCTGCGCGTGGAGCACGTGCGGCTGCACCCCCGGCTGGACGGGCAGGAGCACGTGGTGGAGCTGGACTTCCTCGGGAAGGATTCCATCCGCTACTACAACAGGGTGGCGGTGGAGAAGCAGGTGAGCCGGGGCTGAATCTGCATCCCAAAAACTTTGTGCTTTGGAACCTTCTCCCTGTCCTGGAGAACAGGGAGGAACTTGGGAGTGGGGCTGCCCAGGTTGTTCTGCCCCAGGGACCGGGAAGGTCCCACCTCGTTTTGAGGGGAGGAGAAGGTCCCCCCTCTTTTGAGGATGGAGGGAGAATTCCCACCACTTGGTGGGGGGGAGGGGGAATTTCCACCTCTTTTTTGGGGGTGGAATTTCCACCCTTTTTGGGGGGAAGAATTTCCACCTCTTTAGGGGTGGGGGATGGAATTTCCACCCTTTTGAGGGGGGAGGGAGAATTCCCACCTCTTTTGAAGGACGGGGAGAGAATTCCACCTCTTTTGGAGCGGGGGAGAGAATTCCCACCTCTTTTGAGGGATGGGGGAGAATTCCCACCTCTTTTGGAGGGGGAGGGGAGAGAATTCCACCTCTTTCTGGAGGGAGGGAGAGAATTCCCACCTCTTTTTGGAGGTGGGGAGAGAATTCCCACCTCTTTTTGGAGGTGGGGAGAGAATTCCCACCTCTTTTGAGAGGGAGGGGAGAGAATTCCCACCCTTTCTGGAAGGAGGGGGAGAGAATTCCCACCTCTTTGTGGAGGGAGGGGGAGAGAACTCCCACCTCTTTCTGGAAGGAGGGGGAGAGAATTCCCACCTCTTTTTGGAGGGAGGGGGAGAGAATTCCCACCTCTTTTTTGGAGGGTGGTGGGAGAATTCCCACCTCTTTTTGGAGGAGGGGGAGAGAATTCCCACCTCTTTTTGAGGAGGTGGTGGGAGAATTCCCACCTCTTTTGGAGGGGTGGGGAGAATTCCACCCTTGAGGGGGGGGAGAATTCCCACCTCTTTTTTGGAGGGGGGGGGAGAATTCCCACCTCTTTTTGGAGGGGGAGGGGAGAATTTCCACCTCTTTTTGGAGGGGGAGGGGAGAATTCCCACCTCTTTGTGAGTAGGAGGGGGGGAGAATTCCCACCTCTTTTGGGGGTGGGGGAGAATTCCCACCTCTTTTTGGAGGGGGTGGGGAGAATTCACCCTTTGAGAATCACTCTTTTTGGGGGGTGGGAGAGTGAATTTCTCGGGGGACCATCTTTTTTGGGGGTGGGGAGAATTCCCACCTCTTTTTGAAGGATGGGGGGGAGAATTCCCACCTCTTTTTGGAGGTGGGGAGAATCCCACCTCTTTTGGGGGTGGGGAGAAATCCCACCTCTTTTGAGGTGGAGAATCCCTCTTGAGGGTGGGGAGAAATCCCACCTCTTTTTTGAGGGGTGGGGAGAAATCCCACCTCTTTTTTTTGAGGGGTGGGGGGAGAAATCCCACCTCTTTTTTTTGAGGGGTGGGGGGAGAAATCCCACCTCTTTTTTTTGAGGGGTGGGGGGAGAAATCCCACCTCTTTTTGAAGGGGTGGGGAGAAATCCCACCTCTTTTTTTTGAAGGGGTGGGGGGAGAAATCCCACCTCTTTTTGGGGAGATGGGGGGAGAATTCCCACCTCTTTTTTTGCGGGGTGAGAAGAGAATTTGAGATTTGAGGCAACAGCACCAGTGGGGGCACCAAGGGCAGCCCTTGGAGCTGGGAATGTTGGTGACAGGGTGGGAGCGAATCTGAATCCATCTGGATGAGGACACAGAGGTGAGGGAGATATCTGGAAGCAATTCCTTGTTGTCCCTCACCAAGACCATCCTTTCCCCCCCTCTTTAGGTCTTCAAGAACCTGCAGCTGTTCATGAAGAACAAGGACCCCTCTGATGACCTCTTTGACAGCCTCAATGTGAGTTGTCACCTCTGATCTTCTGAAACACCAATGATGGCCCAGAGTGGGGGGAGAATCAAACCTGTGACCCCCTCCCTGCCAACCTTTGGGGCTCCTCAGTGCCACCCCTTCCTCTGGTTTTGGTTGTTCCACCCTCAGAGTCGTCACTGGCGCCGTTTGAAGGCCCTGGTGGGGTCCTGGGTCCCACCCCAGGGTGGGCTGTGGGGTCCCTGGGCGGCCCCAGAGTGGGCTGTGTGGGGTCCCAACACGCAGAGCAGATGTGAAATCACGTACTGGATGATATCACAGGATCATCAAGGTTGGAAAAGACCTCCAGGATCATCCAGTCCCAACCATCAACCACGTTCCCCACTAAACCGTGTCCCCACGTGCCAAGATGTGTCTTCTTGGACGTGGCTGGGCAGAAGTTGTTGTCTTGCAGGGAGATCCTTTGTGGGTTTAGGTGGAATTTGTGCCAGTTTTGGGTCGGTGGTGACCTGACCCGACAGGTGGATCTACAAGCTACAGGAGCTCATGGTTTTTAATTTGGTTTCTTAGGCAGGGGAGAGTCTGCACAACAAGAGCTTTGTTGTCCTGTTTTTCTGCTGGTTCAATTCCTTCTCTTTCACAGAACCATGGAATGGTTTGGGTTGGAAGGGACCTGAAAGATCACCCAGTTCCAATCCCCTGCCACAAGCAGGGACACCTTCCACTATCCCAGGTTGCTCCAAGAGCCATCCAACCTGACCTGGAATACTTCCAGGGGTGGAGCATGACACTGAGTCCTGAACTGAGCCTTCTATTTGCCACAAACAACTGGATTTGGGGCAAGGAGGGGTCACAGCTTCTCTGGGCAATTCCCCACCCTCCCAGGGAAGAATTTCTTCCCAATATCCCATCAGACCCTACTCTTTCAGCTTGAAGCCCTTCCCCCTTGTCCTGTCACTCCAGTTCCTGCTGTGACTCTCCCCCACACACACACTTTATCCCCTCTCCCTTCCTTACCCCAGACAAGCTTCCTGAACAAACATCTCCAGCACCTCATGGATGGTTTGACGGCCAAGGTGTTCCGGACCTACAACGCCTCCATCACCCTGCAGGAGCAGCTCAAGGCACTCACCAACCGTGAGTTACACACTCTTGGGGGTCTTCACGTGGCCAGCAGGCTCAGAGATGTCCACTGGGGTCCCAAGAACCGTCCACCCCTCCTTAGGGGCAGATGATGCCCCACCTTGTAGGGTGGTACGGAACTTATGGGGGCTGCAACGCTTGGGGGCAGCGGGTTGGGAACCACGGTGAGAAATGGTTAACTCAGGGCTACTCTGACGGATTTAGAGCCCAGGTGGGACTGTTTGTCTCCCTCTTCCTTGTTTGGCTGGTTGGTTGCACCATTTGTAGCTCCTTGGGCGGGTGAGTGACGAGTCCCAGCAGCAGGTGGGGATGCTCGGTTGTCCTTCACTGATTCCTACACCTGTTATCACCCTTCCCTGGAGAAAGGGATGGGAAAGGCCAACCTGGCTGTTCTGCCTTCCCTAAATCCCAGGGAAGAGCTCTTAGTGATGCTTTTCCCCCTTCTTCCCAGCTGAAGACAACGTTGCTGGGAAGCTCCTCTCCTACAACCGAGCCAACCGCGCCGTGGCCGTGCTGTGCAACCATCAGAGGTCCGTGCCCAAAACCTTTGCCAAATCCATGGAAATCCTGCAGACCAAGGTGAGGGAGACCCAAGCTGAGAGCCCTCGGGCCTGATCTCACCTCTGAGTGTTTTGTTTTTGGGCTGGGGGGAGAAGGTGATGCCCTAAAGATCAAGTCGATGGAGCTCCCTCAGGGATCGAAGTGGGAATGGTGGAGTTCAATCAGTGCAGAGCCAGGGGTGGAGAGGGATGGGGTGAGATCCAAGCTCAAATGCTTGGATGAAGCCCACTTGGCACGGAATTTGGGTGGAGTTTTGTGGTTTTGGTCTCCTTTCATCACTTGGTGTCTGCAAACCACACTGTTTGCGATGCCACAGCTGGCTCAGGACCAGGGGAACTGGTTTTCCTGTCTGACTGCAGGAGGAGCAGCTGGAAAATTCATGGCTCTGCTCTGGAAATGCCTCAAATTCCCACTTTTGATTGTCCTTAGCTTTTGCTCACACTGCACTGAGGGACTGGGGCTTTTCAGAGGGCTCCAACCCCATCACAAACCAGTTGGGCTCAGGCAGTGGCACAAGATGAGCGGATTTAGGAGCTCCAAACGTTTCTGGAATCTCTTGGCAAGATTCTAAGAGGTGCTTGAGCCCAGCAGGTGCTGCAGGGACAGTTTTTTTGGGACTGGAGAAGGGCTGGTAAGAAATTAAGGAGTGGGAAGGGGAAAAGGGAGAGGCAGCTGAAACCTCCAGGGAGGACCAGACTTGATTTTTCCCTTCCCAGATCGATGCCAAGAAGAAGCAGGTGGAGGAAGCCCAGCAAGAGCTGCAAAAAGCTGAAGAGGAGTTGGAAGACACAAAAGATGCCAAAGCAGAGGCGTGAGTGGCTCTGCCTTGGAGAATCCAGAGGGGATCCCTGCACGGAGAGCCCCTGGGTGGGGATGGTTTGATCCAACACCCTCCTTTGCAGCTCCCGAGGGGCAGGAATGCCCAGGGTGGGGGTGGGGGTCAGGTGCCTCTTGTGGAAGTCTGGAAGATGGTTTGAGATCCTGTGGATGGTTCCTTGCAGGGAAACCTTCCACCAGAGCAGGTTGATGGCCTGGAACACTTCCAGGGATGGGGCAGCCACAGCTTCTCTGGGTAACCCATCCCAAGGTTTTTGAGGGTGATGGTCTCTGGATGTTGGATTTTTGGGTTTTGTCCATCTTTTGGTTGTGGAAATTACTTTATATTTAAAGAAAAAGCATCTTACCAGGTCAAAGTCCTGGAGAAACAATTCAAGTTTTTTTTTTGATTCTTCCACTCTGGAATATTCCCAAATTTAGGACTTTTCCTCTGTTTTGTTCTTCCTGTGCCCTCAGGAACGTGGAGAAGAAGAAGAAGCTGCTGAAGAGGCTGGAGGAGCAGCTGGCCAGGCTGAATGTCCAGGCCACAGACAAGGAGGAGAACAAGCAGATAGCTCTGGGTACTTCCAAGCTCAATTACCTGGATCCCAGGATTAGCATTGCTTGGTAGGTCTGGGATGTGCAGTCATGGAATGCTTTGGGTTGGAAGGGACCTTTAAAGCTCACCTGGTTCCATCCCCCTTCCACTAGCCCAGATTGCTCCAAACCCTGTCCAACCTGGCCTTGGACATTTCCAGGGGTGGGGCATGACAGTGAATCCCAAATTATGGCTTCCACTTGATACAAATAACTGGATTTTAGGGCAAGAGGGGGTCACTTGGCAAGTCTTCAACAGTGGCCTGAAGTTACTGTCTTAAAGGAGCTTGGGTTGGAGATGCTGCACCTGGAGTGGGGAGGGCACCGAATCCCAGGATCCCTGGATCACTGAGGTTGGAAAAGACCTCCAAGATCATCAGGTCCAACCTGTGTCCCTTCACAGGTGCAAGAAGTTCGGGGTGCCCATCGAGAAGATCTACAACAAGACCCAGAGGGAGAAGTTTGCCTGGGCCATCGCCATGGCCGACGAGGACTTTGAGTTCTGAGCTCACTTCCACCTCCAACCCTTCAATCCTGCCCATCTGGTGCTGTTGGAAAGCTTTGTTCATTTTTTTCCCTGGTCCTGCAGGGGCTGAGGGGTTGTCCAGGAGAAGAATTTGATGCCTTCTTGTGGACAAAATGTTTTGCTGATCGTGCCACTCCACCCTGAGTGACTTGGAGGGAATTCCTGATTCCTCCTCGGAGCTGCCAAGTGCTTGGGATTTTATTTTCCTCTTTTTTTTTTTTTTTTTTTCTTTTCCCTCTGGAGTCTGGCAAGGAGATTAAATGAGAACCTTAATTGTGCTGATGAACAAGCTGTGGTTCAATCCTGTCTCCTTGATGTGGTTGGAGCCCCTTTGGGAATTGGTTGGGTGGGAAATATGAGGCAGTGACAGCATCAGAACAGCTTAAGCTGCTCTATCAGAGTTGGGTTGATGGGGAGTGTTGAAATGAGAGGAAGGGGAAAAAAAATAAATCTCAGGGTTCTACATTTCAGGGGATTTTGTGCCCTTTCACCTCCAGGAGAGGAGGAAGTTGGGCAAGGACGTGAAATGGAAAAAAAATGCGGGAGGGAGGAGAAAGACGCCGGATTAAAAAGCAGCTTCACAGGGGGATAAAATTCACCTTGGCACGAGCCAAGCGTGGTTTAACCACCCCTGGGTGGGTAAATCTTGGTCTGGGAGAGAACATCTCACTGGGGGATGTGTTGTTTTTTTTTTTTTTAATCCCAAATTCCTTCGGCTGGCTCTGTCTCAGTTCCTCTGTGGCACAAACGGTCCAGGCACAGATTTTGGGAATGGCTCATTCCCTAAAAAATCAGGAAGTAAGAAAAGATGATGCTGGGTCAGGCTCTGAGTGTGCTTAGGGGGTGGTACCAACCTTTCTGGAGCTGTTGCTGTGTTGGGATGACGTTCCTGCTGGGCCTGGAGCAGGCAGGGACCGACAGCACCGACCGCTTGTGCCACTTTCCCCCTAAGCAACTGGTTTTTAGACCTAAATAAAAAGTGATACCAGCGTGTCCCTGGCAGCATTCCCGCATTCCAGTGGCTGCCAGGTGTGAACAAGCTGTTGGCTTGGCAGCAAAAGCCTTCTGGCACCTCAGGGCTGATGTTCAGTGCAAAGCTCCTGGTGCTTCCCACGTGTTCATCTGCAGCCACTTGTTCCTGTGTTTAAAGCTGTTGCTGTTCTGCTTGGGAACTGGGGATTTTAAATGTGTTTCTTTAAAACTTTCCCTGTTTTTTTTTTCCCTGGGAATCGGTGACTGGAGGGTTTTTGGAGCTCCTCCAAGGTGTGGATCTGCTGAGAGGATGTTCCTTGAGCCCCGGGTTGGGGTTTGTAGCTCTGAAACACAAGCAACTGGTTTGGTCCCAGCAGATGGAGATGGTTTTCTGCTCTACCTTGAAGTGCTTTCTGGCTTTCCAAAGAGGTCAAACTGAATATTTGCCATTAATTGTGGTGGAAAGTCTATTCCATCCCAGATGGATGCCCCATCCCTGGAATTGTTGGGGTTGGACAGGACTTGGAGCAGCTGGGACAGTGGAAGGTGTCCCTGCCTGTGACAGGGGGTTGGAACTGGATGAGCTTTAAGGTTCTTTTCAATCCAAACCATTCTGTGATTCTGTAAAATAAGGGCATAATTCCAGCTAAATCCCTACAAAACCAGTGCTCCTGTCTCCCAGTAGCAGGAAAAAGAGGAGGAAGATGCAGGGGGTATCTCAGTGTCCCTGTGGATTTCCCACTGAACCAACAGATTAATTAATTTATTTATTTAATTAATTTTTTTTTTAGAATTTCCTAGAGGAAAAAGCTCTCTCGAACATTCATGTGAGAGAGGAGCTGCAGCAGCTGGAACAGTTGGTGGTGGGGGAAAAATGGGAATAAAATCCACCCCAGACAGCAAATTCTGCTGCAGCTTTGGGTGGGAAAGGGGTGACTCTTTTTGTCTGATTTGTTTAATCTGTTGCTGACAAAACTATCACCACCTTCTTAAAAGGAGCCAAAATACCACTTTCTTAATTTGTGGCGAGCTAATGAAGGTTCCTAATCAGCAGTGAGAGGGTGTGTCTACAACTCACACTTCAAACAAAGCCACGATCCCCTCACAAAGGAGCACAAATCCAAATTTTAAAGCAAAGCAACCTCCTACCCTGCTTGGAAGAGAAAGCAAAGTCCACTTCCTTAAAAGCAAGCAATTAGCACACAGAACTCGTCATTTCTGACCCCAGAAAGGGAGAAGGGAGGCAGGTACATGGAAATTTTCCTCTAATCTTTTTCCCCCTCCCAACCCTCTTTTTATACTCTTTTTTTTTTCCCCCTCAGACTTTGGGTTAGGTTTGGATCCTTTTTATTTAAGGATAGATGATGTAAATCTGAAGGTCCCCACGGTTCCTTTCTTTTTGCAAGATGTTTGGAAGAGGAGCTGTGGTGCCTCCACTCTGTTTTTCAGTGTATCCATGTGTTTTTATTCCCAGCGTATCGTGACCTTCTCAGCTTCCAACAGAACCTGCTGCCTTTTTTTTTTCTTCCTCTTTATTGTGTTGTGTCCTCACCACACAGCCCTGAGGGTGGGATCTCTCTCCCAGCCCAACATTTTGGGGGCTGTTTGTTGACTCCAAGCAACCCTGGAACGATCAGATGAACCTTCCTGGTTCCATCACCAACCCTGGAAATGCTCCAAAAAAACCCAAACGTGTGGATGTGGCACTTGTGGTGCTGGGTTGATGGTGGACTTGATTTTAAAGGGTTTTTTTTTCCCAATTTTAATGAGTCCAGGATGTTTTAGGCACTGAAAAACCTGGGCTTGGACGCCTAAAACCGTCGTAGCCTAAAATCAGGATAATAACGATATTTAGTGAAATGCAAAGCCAAAAGTGGAGCGTTTTCCCATGGGGTTATTTCCTTTTTCATTTACAAAGAACTGCTTTGAGACAAAGCCAGAAGTGGCACCTCCCCCTGGAACTTCTGGGGTTCACCAAAACCTTTTGTCCAGAGAGGGGGAGGAGACCTCGAGCCAAACCCACCAGGAACAAGAAGTTGACTGGTGGTGCTGATCCTGGCATGAGTTTAGGGCTGTCCTAATTATGTAATAATGGTTTTAAAAGAAAATCTGGGAATTTTGGGGAGTTTAGCTCCCTCCCTGCAGGCTGGGAATGTCCTCCTCTGTGGTGGCACTGGGCAGCTCTGGTTGGAATTTCCCTGGATGTATCTTGTCACCAGCTGCTTGTCCAGAGCCGAACTTTCCTTGGAATCTGCTTCATGTCTGTTCTCCCATTAAATAAAAAGCTGAATTCAGCAACTCCATCTCCCCTCCTCTCCAGCCTGTCCTGTTCCATGGGGCTGTTTATCCTCAAATCTGGGACTTGGAACCTAAAGGATCCTGAAATGGTTTTCCTTGGAAGGGACCTTGAAAGATCATCCAGTTCCACCCCTTGCTGTGGGCAGGGACAACTTCCACTATCCTGGATTGCTCCAACCTGGCCTTGGACACTTCCAGGGATCCAGGGGCAGCCACAGCTTCTCTGGGAATTCCATGCCAGCCTCTCAGCACTCTGAGGGAAGAATTCCTTCCCAATATCCCATCTCACTCTGGGAAGCCATTCCCTGTGTCCTGTCCCTCCATCCCTTGTCCCCAGTCCCTCTCCAGCTCTCCTGGAGCCCCTTTAGGCCCTGGAAGGGGCTCTCAGGTCTCCCTGGAGCCTTCTCTTCTCCAGGTGAACATTCCCAGGGCTGTGGACATCAGGAACCTTCCCACAGGGTGCTCTCTCCTGGGAATGCTGTGGGGCCAACAGGTTATTGACCCTCAGGGATGAATCCTCTCTTTCCCCAGAGCCACTTTCCATAGCCTGGCCTTGGAAACACCACCTTGGTGGATGACCTGAATCCTGGAATTCCTTAGGCTGGAAAACACCTTCAGGTCCCTCCAATCCCTGCCACGTTCCCAAGTGCTGCTTTTCCAAGTCTTTTCAACCCTTCCAGGGATGGTGACTCAGCTGCTGGGAGGAAGGACAGTCATCAGCTCTTTCATCTGCTCACACCGAGGAGGCTGGGAGAGATGAGGGGGTGTTTTTTTTTTTGGCTGATTCATCTCAGTCGGTGCAGAGGGAGGAGTTGGGTGGGATGAAAACCCCTCCTTGGCTGCTGAACTGCTGGATCTGCTCCAGATCCTGGAGGGGAGGAAACAACCCGGCTGCATCTGGCAGGCACTGTGAGGTGGGAACCCCCCCCCCATGAAGATTTGAGGGAGAGCAAGGGGAAGGCTTTTTAGAGGTTTCCTCCTCCCCTCCCTTCTTATGGGAGGTCTGATGTTGCAAAAATAATAATAAAAATAAAAAAATAGAGGAAAAAAAATATCAGGTTTGTGCCCTGGGAAGGAGAACTGACACTTGCTGTGGACTCAGGAAGGAGGTGGCTGCACATCCAGGGTGTCCCACTGGGAATGAGGGGATAACACCCAGCCTGGCTCTTCCTAAAGTTGCTTTTTAGCCCTAATAGTGACTTTTTGTTGTTGTTGTTGTTGTTTTTTTTTTGTCCAGGGATTATTCAGATCAAAATAAAGGATCGGGCAGGGCTCGGCTGGGCTTGTCCCAGGCTCCAGGAACGGCTTCTCCAGGCCTTAATCCTGAGATCTCTGCAAGCTGGGACAGGAGAAATCCCAATAAATTACTTAGTTAATATTCTTAATCCCAGTCTGGATTAAACTGCAATTATGATTGATTGGCTTGGCTCAGAAATGAGCCTTGGGATAAATTGCTCTCCCAGCTGCAGGAGGGAGCAGAAGTTCCTTCTGCTGCCATGAGCCTGGAAAGAGAGGGATTGTGGAATCATGGAATGGTTTTTGGGTTGGAAGGACTTAAAAATCATTGTCTTCCAACCCCCCTGCCGTAGGCAGGGACACCTCCCACTATCCCAGGTTGTTCCAACCTGGCCTTGGACACTTCCAGGGATGGGACAGCCACAGCTTGTCTGGGAATTCCATCCCACCCCTCCCCGCCCTCCCAGACAAAAATTCCTTCCCACTATCCCACCTAACCCTGCCCTCTGGACACACTCCCTGTGTCCCAGTGGGTGTAAAAAAATTCCTCTTCCATGTGATGTGAGCTCCCTACGGAGCTCCCAGTGGTTCCCAGGGATTACCCCTGTTCCTCAGGGAGACAGACAGCTGATGCCTTCCCAAAAAAATGCCGTGATTCCAGCCGGATGGTGGCTCTCAGGGTGCCCCTCCCTTGTAAACAAGGCAGGAGATTTT